CGCATCCATCGCATAATCAACCTCAGTTCGCCCGCATAATTTACCTCATCGCATCGCATAATCCTGGACACCCTACTAGGGTACTATGTTCGAAGAATATGACCTCAAAAATCACATGACCGGAAAATCGGTCAAATTGCGTACGTACGTACGTACGTAGAATTTTGGATTGCTGTGCCAGAAGTCACGTTACTGCACTTTTGGTGATTGCTCTTCATATATATTTAGCCCTGATGGTCCCTTTATACAAGATAACTGTCTCTATAATATTCTCATAACATGTTTGTAACGTTTATTCCATACAGTATAGCCATCGTATGATATTAAAATAGATTTTAGATTTAAAGTTTAGGATCATCCAATTTTTCGAAACAAATAATTAATATGATATAAGAAATTACAGCAGATCAGTATGATCCGTATGGTACAGATTCAATTTTAAAACCATACAGACTAATCAGCTATGATTCCTAACCTTAATACTCAAATATAATAAAGCCAGATCAGTTCTGTTGTGGTTTTAAAAATTTTGCCGGTACTATGGATCCGGTCGCCCATACCATGCTGATTGCGTAACTTAGGATATCAGATATGCATGATCTGCCGTAGATGATCGAAAGTTCGTTTTGTTAGGGTTAGCTTTATGTGAAAGCTTTGCAATTCAAAATGGAGTTTTCCAATAGTGTAATGTTACCAAATTGAGACTAACTATCGACTATTCATGTAAATTGCAAATATAGTCGCACTTTCATGCAATCATACCATCGGGACCTTTAGAAACTTTATACAAAATGTTCTTATATAGAGAATGTGCTTGTATAGTATGTTGTCAATGGAACGGAAGTTACATGATTTGGAATTTCTTAAGATTTTAGAGTTAATGTGCCGGTTTATATAAAATAAATTCTACCAGAAAATTATAATTTAATTAAAAATTCCAAATCATTTAAATTCCGTTTTCACTTACAATATAATGGTTCAAAAAACAAATGGAGTGTCAATAGAATCCAAGCAAATTTTTTTTAGTAATTTTTTTTAAACTTTAAATTAAAATATCTCAACAACTATTAAACTAAAATTGATAAAAATTTGTTTAAAAAAATTTTTATCAAGTTTGGTTTAATCGTTGTCAAGATATTTTAATTCAAAGTTTAAAAAATTAGAAATAATTTGCTTGGTTTCTATTCCTCAAATGCACTTATTAATATGACGTGATTATAAGATGGTACTTATATGAAAGGTGACTGTATTCATATGATAGCATATAATTATTGCGAATCTTTACCCAATTTTGTTAAAGAACAATTACGTAATATGATCTCAATACAATACGTATGTATAATGATCATGATCATAAATTCATAGTTTTTTATTATTGAAAATTTCATGATGCATAATAATCTTTCAATAATTTGGAATTAGAGGTAGGATTGATCGTTTACTTTTTATTGTCCTCGTGCACCCATCTCAAGCCTGGAACTTAGTGTCAAGCGTACACCCCCTGCTCTCTGCACGTGTACGAGGTTTTGCATCCTGGACTTGTGTATCCTCTATAAGTGAATGCATGTGATTGATGTTTTGGTTGATCGATGTTCTCTTTAGATATTTTATTCACATCATATCAGTACAGCTGAATCATGGATTTCGTTAAAAAAGAAACTGAATGAATATGGACTTAGTGAAATATATTTCGAAAATAGCTTGCTTTTAATTAGATAAATTCAGATGAGTTTTTTGACAAATCCTAAAAATTAATTTAAAAATCTTTAGTGTTAATTAAATTCACATAAATTCACGTTAATTGTACAATAAGTACAAATTTGATACGTATAATTATTTATAGAATTTGTGAATCCGTAAAATTTATTTATTTTAATGTTAGCAAGATATAAATAAAAATATAAAACGAAAGTAAATAAGAAACGCAAAATTTGACTTTTATAAAACCCCATTTAACCGACATCACATAGGTTAGGGTTAGCATTTTATTAGGTTAAATGGCTGTCGGCAAAAATGTGGTGAATAAATCATCACTGTTATCACTTTCGCTATTGTTATTAACGTTATCGGAAAAGACTTTACCGAGTGATTGTCCGGCGCGGATCCGTTCGAAAATGCAAGAACATATGCTCGTATTTCATTTTCTATAAACAGCCAAAATTGGCGAATGTCCGGATCCAATCTCTATTTTGAGAAAACGATTTTTGAGAGTATCGATCTACTAAAGTTGGTTCCTTATTTAGCGTTAGCAAATTATTAAGTCTTCATTTTATTTATTTTTTTTAAATTTAAATGTGGTAAATTTAAAGATCAAACAAGAAAAATCAGAAATTTCTGGTAGAAAGAAATAAAAATTTAAGAAATGTTTCCCGATTACTCGTTTGTCGGTAACGTATGCCCTTACGCGTCTCACTCTAATACAACTTGTAATTATAACATTTTTTTAATCGATATTTGATAATCAAGAGAGAGCTGTGATCGAGTCATGGATATGGTTATGGTTTTTCCACCGGATATGGTCAACTGACAAATTCAAAACTTTAGAGTGGAAACGACTAAAAAATTTCGAACTAAAGTCATTTATGACTTTATTAATGTTTATCATGCTACCTATGCAGGCCGTAAGTTGTATTAAATTTACTAAAAAAGTTATGATAATTATCAAAGTAAGCATTTATTATACTTTAGATCCTTGACGGAGTATGTACTGCAGTTAAATATGAAGAAGGTAATTTAACATTCGATCTAGCATCTACAATAGCACTAGCGATATTACAACAACCACATAGCCAAATTTGACTGAAATTGTTTTATTTTAATTCTATATGTTCATAAAATAAAAATGAAAAAAGGTTTATCGAATTTAATTTTTGTTGTTTTTATGGTATCGTTAATATATTCTGGATGCTAGACATAGCTGGGACACTCTAATTCGATCATTATCATGCACTTATACTTGATGAACTACTTATGAAATCATTATAATAGGTCTCGTACCTGTTTCTTTTGCCGGCTCCTGTTCGAATCATGAAAATATTGTTTCAAGTAATACCCTACTGGTTCCAAAACCGTATAAATGTTGGTCTCCTACGAATCTTCTTCTTAAATCGATAACGGACTATGCGTTTTGCGTAATTTTTGCTTTCCAAACGTATGTATTTCGAAAGTGACGTTCAACATTTCATTCGGTCATATATATAATTGTAACTATGCTTATTTTTATGTAGAGGAACTTTGTTCCTTATACAATCTTTTTGGAGTTATATGGCTAATCAATGGGGTGGAAAACCATTCATGAATTCATGGGAATTCCGTATTTATATTGCGTGGGGCCTCATATCCATCATACTTTTTCCAGGTACAACATGGTTAATAGGACATCTCAAACCTCCTAGTTATAACGTGATTGAGGTAAAATATAATTATATAACGTATACATAATATCTGTTGATACTAATGGTGAATGTTTTCAAAACTAGAGTGTACCTCTGATTATCTTTGTTATAGAACTTTTTTTTATTATCATAGTTGGGGTTTGTATTATTATTATTATTATTATTATTATTATTATTATTATTATTATTATTATTATTATTATTATTATTATTATGATTATTATTATTAT